TGGATATTGTGCTGAGGGGCACGACACAAGAGAATGCCAAAACCGCAATAGTGCTCCCAAATGCTGTAATTGCATAAATGCAAAAAGGAGTAATATTCTGCACCCTGCATATAGCCCAGAATGCCAAGAATGGCAGAAATGTGATAATATTGCAAGATCGTCTGTTTCATACTGCTAAGACTGCTTCCTCTTTGGTCCGAGACTTGTTTGTGAGTAGACGTATCGCGCTTTATTTTTCAAATTCGTAACTAATATACATAGAAAAACCCGCTGTAATCGTTGCACATTAAAGTCGACATAGTCTGAATTAACCTAAAAATATTTAATCTATCACAATATTTGTTGACATCTGCCTGCGTGTCGCGTCCCCCTCATACCTCACGTGCAAGCGTGTCAACTGCTATATTTTGGCCCGTTCTTGCGCCGCAACGTCGTAAACGCACAAGGTCGTGTATCACCGCTACGAAGAGCGCGCTACGGGCTACTACGGCCTACGTAAAAACCAACGCGGTTACGACCTTCGCATCTGTGTGCTACGATATCGCTGCATAATTGAACTGCGCAGTATTCGAACGCATTGTTAACTAAAAGATGGAAAGTGATATGAACAGATCGTTATCTGATTCTCATATTCATCGGGAAGCAGTTCGGGACACTGAAACTCCCAACTATGTCACCCAACGTAATAAGAGATGCAGGGGGGACTTAGAAGAGGAAACTTTTGAAGCGTTTAAGCAAGATATGATGGCAGCCCTTCAAACTACGATGCAAAATGAATTTAAGAAAATTAATCCAATCCTTCAAGACATCAAAAATACAAATGAAAACATAGAAAACTCTATATCATTTTTAGCCGCACAAAATGAGGAATTCAAAAAAAGAATAGAACAACTGGAGTGCGAAAACAAAAAGGACAAAGAGTACATAACTTTACTTGAGGAACAACTGGAGGACGTTAGAAGAGAAAACCAAAAAAGGAAACTTTGAAATAAAGAATGTGCCACAAATTGAACCCAAAGAAAACAAAGACGATCTAATAAAAATGGTTTTATCCTTATCAAAAACGATAGACTGCCCTATAACCGAAAATGATATCACTGACATTTATAGAATACGAGCAAAGAGAGTAACCACCAATAGTACCCCAATTATTGTGGAAACAAGTTCGGCTATTCTAAAGTCTTCGATTTTACAAAAATGCAAGGCTTATAATATTAAAAATAAAGAAAAGCTGCGAGCTAAACACCTGGGTTTTAGATCGAGGGAAGACACACCAATATATGTATCAGAACAACTAACGTCTAAGGGGGCTAGATTACATTATCTTGCCTCGCCAAAACGAAATCATATAAATTTTGTTGGACATCGTACAGACGTGTCTATTTACGGAAGACAAGCGATTCCCCTGTTATTCCGATAAGGTATGAAGCTCAAGTACATAACCTCATACAACAAACGTGACTATGCAGTGATATTATAGTGCAGGTCCTACCGTTATTATTACACACTGTGTTTACTATAAATCTGCCCTGATACGGAAGAAGGCGGCTAAGTGCATTTTGCCGATTTTGAGCTTTCAGCACCACTAAACAAAGCAAAAAATTCTCTATCGGCCGATGTTGGAATCATATTTTTACGATTAATGGTTCCAGAGATATATTAAGGATTTTGGCGGTTAAGTGCAAAATTTTCTTTGCTATCATAAGCTAGAAATCAGTTACGATGCACTGTTACGCTACAAAGCCATTAAGAGATTTTAACAATTTATTTTCTTAATTGAAGTATAATATTTGATATTGTAAAACTAAGAAAAAGTGTAGTTAAATGCATTTTTTTAAGCTAAAAGGCAGTTAGCCGTAGATAACTGCTTTATTCCTTAGCAGCATTTTTGCTAGAGTAAGTCGTAATAATACGCTGAAAAGCGGTAAACACTATTAGTAGAAGCTAAAAAACATCTAAAAGCACTTAATTTCTTTTAAGCATAGAATTTAAAAAATGTATTAAAATTACAAAATTCACATAAAAGCAGTCACGACTTTTTAGCGTATGATTAACCTTTGAATTATTGAAATAATATTGAAACAGCGGCTAAATTAATATACTACGCTTAAAAGCATTTAAGTGTAAGTTTAGCAATCGATGTGTGCGTAGAGAATTCGATCGGTAAAAAGTGCGCCAGAAGTGTATATTTCTTGGTTTGGATTTTTTATTTGGATCATTGCGTTCCGAGACGTCACGGGAGAAAGCCGCATGCTTAGCACGTCGATTTTTTGGCGCCAACACGTTAGTTATAAGGTAACTAGATACCTACTTAATAATGTTTGTAGTTGCATATTGTATCATTATGATATTATTATTGAGTAATACTACTTAAAAGCTGGTATTTAATCCATCAATTTAAGCCATGCACATATTTTAAATTTAAGTTCATATCTTTCTCAACTGTCATCTTCATTAAGATTGGCACGTATAGCGTACTAACTAACCACAATCAATATTAAACATTTTAGCGACTCATATCGTAAACCCCTGATTTAATACTCAATAATAACACATTTTATTTAATACGTTTCTTATATGCCAGCTTTATATTCATGATAAAATATTATTAAAATACAATGCAGCCAAGGATTTTTTTTAATTTATAGTTAGACGTCGGGCCCCATAATTAATATTATTTGCTTTTATGAAAGGCAAAAATGTTTAACAATATATTTCCTTGTGCATGATTGTAGATGAAATCCAGCCTCCACCAGTTAATAGACTAATATTTTTCCTTATTTGATATTAAATATTTTCCAAACATAACATAGCTGACCTCCTTTCTTTTACATTATTTGAGTACTTATATTATTTTACAGATTGAATAATGTCTCGGTTTAACAGAGGAAAGAAGTTAGTAAGCATGGCAATTAAAGAATCGGCAGATGACCGTAAACCATTTGAACATAATCAGTGGGCCCAGTCGACACGAATGGGTCCCCATTCTTCGATAATTAATTCACTTTGGTCTCGATCATACTCGATGGATATTAAGTTTAAGGAACATATTTTAAGTGATTCTGAATCAATTGATAAAGTTCTGTCAACTCCAAAAGATGCGTGGGAGCAAATATTCAAACTGGATAATTCGCAACAAAAAAATGAAGATACATCAAAAATTGACTTAACTGATAACGAACAAAATTCTGTGAATAGTTTTTTTATGAAGAAATGATACCATCTGTAAGCGATGGATTTGATTGTAATGAATTGAGCACTACAGATAAAAACTATGTGCCACCAGAGAGTATGTCCCAAACTAACTCCAAATCCATAGAAAATAACAACCAATTTATTACTTACTCTTTGCCTCCCACTGCACGTCTTTCAGAATCTGTTGAACAGCACTATCACCTTGAATTTATTGATAAAGATTTTAACTCCAATGATCGTTTGAATGACAAAAATTATGCGCCGGCAGCAAACTTATCGCTGAATAGCTCCGAATCGGTAAAAATACACAATCTGTCTATTAATTACTCCTTGCCGTCTACAGTACATCTTCTAGAATCAATAGAAGAGCAACATTTTTTAGAATCAAGCGGTGAAGATCTCGACTCTGACGATTCTGTAAGAGATAAGGACTACGTGCCATCAGCGGAGATGCCACAAAATAGTTCTGATCCCGAAGAAGACGATAATCAGTCTATTTCATACTTATTTCCGCCTACTATTCAACATGATAAAAAAGTGAATAAACAAAAGTCAGATTTAGCAGGCACTGAAAAATTTAATATCGTAAACGATATGATTGAGCAGAAGAAAACATCTAAAAAAACAATCGCAGCCAAAACCCTGGAAACCAAAGAATTCAGAAATGCAACTACAAAAATAGAAACACTGTTATCGTTATGTAGAAATGCTATTAATAAAAATATATATCAAAAGCAAGAAAATCAACCATTTTTATATACATGTAATGACGATATGCGTGATTATAGTGAACAAGAAAAAGTAACTGTGTACATAATTGTTGAACAAGAAACGCCTACTAGTCCAGAAGATAATATAATAATTGATACTAATTTAGAGTGCGTATCCGAGGAAATAATAGAGAAATAAAAAAATACCACGGAGCAACTGTACACTAAATCCGGAAAATAACGTAAAAGAAAAACGTTTCAAAAAAGTTTAAAGGAGAGACAACTCGCTGAAAAAACAAAATACATAGAAAAACATGCTGTGAAAGAAGGGTGCAAAAACAGTTGCTTGAAAAAATGTAACACAATATTTAGTGAAGAGACAGGAAATATATAAACAATTATTACTGGGGTTTGAAGTGGAGAGAACAGCGCATATTTTTGAAACAGAGTGCTCGTCTTGCTACACCTAAGCGAAAAGTTACAACACCCCCAAAAATGCATGCTAGGCGCACGTTTTTTTTTTTCAGAAAAACGGACGACAGATTGAGGTTTGTAAGCATTTTTTACTTACAACACTGGGTTATAAAAGCTCTAATGATAAAGTATTATATAATGCTTTAAGCGAAGAAATCGTGAAGGATGAAATGATACAAAAACTGAACATTATAATAGAGAGAGTGTCATCATATACAAACATTTCATCCAACAAATTCACACTATCGAAGAGAGCATGCTCCGAAATGAAAATATTTGCCTAGTGACATAACTGTGAAATTGATGCATGCTGATTTCATAGAAAAACAATCACGTTTCAAAATATCCTACGATTTTTATAGAAAAGTAGTGAAATCTTTAAATATCTCCTTCACACAACTAGGCCACGAGGAATGTGAGATATGTGAAGCTCATAAAATACATTTCTAATCTGAAAATCATGATAAAGACAGTATTTTTGATGACTGTGTAAAATGTTTAGATTACAGGAATCACAAATCGCGAGCACTAAAAGCTAGAAAACTTTATTTAAAACATAAGGAAGAAAAGAAAAATGAACCCAACCACATTTACTATAGCACAGATTTGGAAAAAGTTATAATGTTACCAAGATTAGAAACTTTTAAGGAAGTAGTTTTTTGTCAAAGACTGTTAGCATTTAATCAAACCTTTGCTCCGATAGGAAAATCTAATACAAATCCATACGCTGTTTTATGGCACGAAGCCATAGCTGGCCGTAAACAAGAAGGCATTATTAGTGCCTTTAATGTTTTTCTTATGCAGAGTCGAGTACATAATTTCATTGATTTGTGGCTAGACAATTGCGCGGCTCAAAATAAAAACTGGCTATTGTATTTTTACCTAGTCTACATTATAAACTCCAGCGAAATCAGTGCCAAGCAAGTTAACCTTAATAATTTTGAATCCGGACACACCTTTATGAGTTGTGACCACTTCCATCACCAAGTGGAACTTTCAATGAAAAGAAAAAAGAAACTCCACGATTTTCAAGACTTTATTGAAGCAGTGTCTGCTGCCAATTCCGCAAAAGTGACTGTTAAGGAAATGAAAACCTTCTATTTCATTAACGTTATTGACTATACATCTCTAAGAAGAATCCAAACTTCAAACCCACGTGCGTATATGCGAATCGTGGTGCAAGTAATATTCAAAAGAGGATCGTTTAATTTGTTTTACAAAACTGACTTTGATGGGTAAGTAAACGAACTAACTTTTCTAAAAGATACGTATTTAAAATCTAAAACAGGACCGATTTCTGTAATAACGTCTAGAACAAATCCAAGAGGCATAAAAACTTCAAGAAAAGAGAATATACTGAAAAAACTTAGCAAATTTATGCTGCCTTATAAGCAAACGTTTTGGAAAAATTTACCTACCAATGACAATGAAAAGACTGATTCTGATGAGGAATGAATTTATTAATAATGTAGGGTAGTATTTAAAAAATAATGATTGCTGATCTCAGTGTAGAGTCACTCAGTGAGACGATAAATAATATTTAAAAGTATCTCTTCAAAAAAGCGTTAAAAGTCTGATTACACTAATTAAGATTTAAGAATGTAACTTTTATTTGTTGATTTTTAAAATATTTTTGTTATTTTTTTTTCCTTAAAATTATTGTAAGATTGATAATTACCTCTTTATTTTAGAATGAAGAAGTGAGTAAAAAGTCTGATTACCAGATATAATAATTAAGTTTTAAAAATAAAGGTTTTGTTATTGAAATTTTAGAAATCATTTTCTTGTTTTCCTAACGATCCAAAGTTATGGTGTCCTTCAAAGCACATTTTTATTTTACACTTAGCAACTTTTAAACTTACATAATAGTAATATATCTATGCTAATGCTAACCAAAAAAGCAGTTATATAAGATTGATGTGAATTTAACTGCCTTTTAGATTAGTAATACTTCCATTTAATTTAATTATTTGCTAATAAACTAAACTGAAAGGCAGTGAAATCACTAAATTGCAATAAAGCATAATCTACGAGTATAATTTAAATTATACGTCAGAAATCAAAAGAACGTTAAAGCAGGTTAGCCGCATTTTTGCGTATGACTATTCTTAGTAATACACTAAAAAGCGGATATGGTACACTTAGCTGCCTTTTATATTATGATAAATATTCAAATATAATGGTACAATACTTACGTTAACTACATTCTTGGATTTTACAGAAGAGTATGGCATTAATTGCAATAAAACATATTAACAAAAGTTACGTAATTTTTTTACATGTATTTCAATATTTAAAACTTTTTACTTACGTATATCAAGAAAACCGGTTTTGCGCTTTTTTTCAATTTTTCTCGAAACATACATTTGTGGCTTAGCCGCCTTCTTCCGTATCAGGGCAGAAATATCGCTTTAATTTGTACTGATGATGTATTCCTGTTTTATTGCGCACATATACTAAACATATTAAGATGTACTTTAAAGGTAAGGTTTTGTAGATACACATACCTAATATGCATTGCTACTTCACTGTTCCAAAAATTGATTTTTCTTTGTTCCACTCATACACATTTATTTACACAAACACACATTAACAACTTCCTCAAATCTACACAAAATAACCATATGATAATTTATAAAAAGCTACTCACTGGTACTTTCTATAATCATGTTAAAAATGTGTTCTATAAAAACCGTCACAATCGTCAAATGGCTCCTTCATTTTATAATAGAATTTATGTGCAACGTCAGGAAGTATTTAATCCAATCTTTATATGGATAGCTTGTTAAAAACCGTAACAGAGATTGATAAAGCGGAAATTGCAACCTCTAACATGTGTGATATTATTAATTTTTAATCCTCAGTAGTTAAAATACTTAACACAGATCTCACAATTATTTCACAAAACATGAGGGGTATTTATTGTAATTTTGATTATCTTTGCCTTACATTGTCACATTTCAAGTTTTTGGTAGATGTGATAGTATTGACTGAGTGTCAAATTGATCCAAAAAAAATTATACCACAGTTAAATAATTATACATCATTTACAACAACAAATCATTTGAATCGGTGTGACGGAGTTGGAATCTACGTAAGAACGGATTATAAAGTTAAGGTTACCGAGATCCTGCTTTCGAATGCTTCATGTCTTCAGATTACCATAAATGACTTCACTATCCTAGGGATTTATCGCTCACCATCAACCTCGGATGCAGAAAAATTCGTATATTCACTAGACAATAACTTGAATAACCTAAAGACATTTAAAACTATAATTATTACGGGAGACATAAACATAAATATAATAAATGACGACAATTTACAGACAAACGAGCGTAAAAATAAAATAAACTACTTAAACATGCTAGCTACACACGGCATGTTACCAGGACATACCCTGCCAACTAGAAACAAAAACTGTTTGGATAATTTTATTTTAAAACTAAATAAATCCAAAATGCTGCTTCTATATACGTTCTGAATGCTACTATTACTAACCATGACATGATTTTTCTAAAACTATCCAATATAAAAGATGAAACTAATTCTACTAAAATAAGGACCTCTATCAACCTTCTACAAGCAATCGAATCATTTAAGGATTTGGATCTTAATGATTTCTTATATTTACGCGAACACTACACATTGAAATAATACTAATTTTTACGGAATTTATCGCGTATATTTAACTTTTTTACCCGACGTATCGAGAGCTTTACAGCACCCATGGTCACGGGAAGGACTGAGATGTTCAACGTCCAGCTGTCACAGTTAACCGCGGTTACCATAGATTAAAATTTAACTTTTGTTCCGATCTACACAGTATGAACTTATGGTATCATGGAGTCTTGCAGTTGTATGCTTGGGTTGGGATTTAATTTTATTTATTATAGGATCCCAAGCAGATGGTAGCACCCAGCCATCTTCTCTATTGAAATTAGGATGTTTTTTGATTTCAATAGCCTCGCGAATCATCCTTGGAAGGAATCGGTGTTCTTTAGCGAGGATTTGTGGTCTATCAAATCTGATGTAGTGACGGGGGGCGATCCTGTACATGTTCAGCTGATGTGAAGAATCGACGCTCCGGGAAGTCTGCAGTCTGTGAACATGTACAGGATCGCCCCCGTCACTACATCAGATTTGATAGACCACAAATCCTCGCTAAAGAACACCGATTCCTTCCAAGGATGATCCGCGAGGCTATTGAAATCAAAAAACATCCTAATTTCAATAGAGAAGATGGCTGGGTGCTACCATCTGCTTGGGATCCTATAATAAATAAAATTAAATCCCAACCCAAGCATACAACTGCAAGACTCCATGATACCATAAGTTCATACTGTGTAGATCGGAACAAAAGTTAAATTTTAATCTATGGTAACCGCGGTTAACTATGACAGCTGGACGTTGAACATCTCAGTCCTTCCCGTGACCATGGGTGCTGTAAAGCTCTCGAAACGTCGGGTAAAAAAGTTAAATATACGCGATAAATTCCGTAAAAATTAGTATTATTTCGATTTGGATCTTCATGACATGCTACTACATACTAATCCCACTTATCTTACTGATTTGTTAATTGATAAATTAAGGCAATGTATTTTAACAAACACAATAACCATGACAATTCCATGCAAAAATCGTATTTTAAAACCATAGATTACAATAGGTATTCTTCGTTGTATAAGAAATAGGAACGATATGCAGAAAAAACTGAAACGTGACCCAAAAAACTTAATCCTAAAAATAACATATAGACGCTATCGAAATCACTGTAATGCTTTGATTAAAAATTTAAAGCGGAATTACGAAAGAGATCAACTAATTAAAAATAAAAAAATCCCAGGTTACTTTGGAAATCTATGAATGACATCACGCATCGTAAAGTAAATAAATATAATATATATAATATAATATTCCACAACTATCACACAACGCCATCTAGTCCCAAGCTAAGCAGAGCTTGTGTTATGGGTACTAGACAACTGATAAACATACTTATATATTTCTAAATACATAAATATTATAGATAAATTACACCCAGACACAGAACAAATGATCGTGCTCATCACACAAACATTTGTCCTGGGTGGGGATCGAACCCACGACCTCCGGCATAGCAGTCAGGGTCACTAACCACTAGACCAGCAGGCCTGTCAATAATATTCTTCTTAACTGTAAATCAACGCCTAAAGAATCTGTAAATTACATAAATGCCTATTTTGCAAATATTGGCAAATCTCTAGCTGATAATATTTTAAAGCGTCAAACAAATTGGGGTACACTGTCTGATAATTATAGTGATTTAAACCCATTTTCTTCCTTTGTCTTATTAGAAACTGACCCGGATGAAGTTTATGAAATTTTAATGGGATTAAAATCGGACAGTACCGCGGGCTGGGATGGTATACAAACGAAATTTCTGAAACATGTTGGCAAAGAAACAGCCCCCGTCATTGCTCACTTAGCTAACCTCTGCATAAGACAGGGTATTTTTCCTACTGCGCTCAAACATGCTATCGTCACTCCGATACATAAGGGTGGAGATAGAGACGAAGCCAGTAACTACAGACCCATATCAGTTCTTCCGGTTATTTAAAAAATATTAGAAAAAAATATAAATAGCAGATTAATTAGCTTCCTAAACAAATATCAACTAATATCTAACTCACAATTTGGCTTTAGGCGAGAGATTTCAACAGATGACGTTATAAGTGCATTAACGTCTCACATTACTGAAAAAGTCGATAGAAATAAAAAGTGCATTACAGTTTTTTTAGATCTTCAGAAGGTTCTCGATACCGTCTCTGTCCCCATCCTTATGCGCAGATTGGAATCAGTGGGTATCAGGGGTACTCCCCTAGCTTTGCTGTGTGATTATTTGCGTGATCGTAAACAGAGTGTTAGGGTTGGTGACTGTATTAGCGAGCTAGCAGACACAACATATGGTGTCCCCCAGGGAAGTGTGTTGGGACCAACTCTCTTTTTAATTTATATCAACAACCTTTGTAACTTGGATATTCGTAATGGTAAATTATTTTCATGTGCTGACGACACCGCTGTAGTTTTCTCTGGTTCAACATGGGACGAAGTACATGGCTTTGTTCAAGAAGGTCTGGCCCAAATAGCTCAATGGTTAGATAAAAATTTATTGACTTTAAACGCCTCTAAGACCAATTATATATGTTTCACAAATTATAACAGCACTCAGCCAAATACAGATTTTCAAATAAAAATTCACTCATATAACAATTTCTCCAACCAAAATTGCTCATGTGATGGCATAGATAAAATATCTAAAACCAAATATCTTGGAGTAATGGTTGACCAGCGCCTTGCTTGGAGTGCCCACATTGACCTACTGATTGGCAGAATTCGCAAACTAACTTGGATTTTTAAAACTTTGAGACACGTTGCCGACGCAGATTTATTAAAACAAATATATATATATATAT